AAGATTTCCAGACTGATTATACCCATCACGGATCTCAAGATATTCCTCATCAGCGCAAGGTGCTCCAGGTAAGGCAGGGTTCAGCCTTAGATCCAATTCTATTTCCACATATCGCCCTTTTTCTACTTGGAGACGGTGGGTTGTGTCAAAGTCTGGGATATATCGGGAGTATACTTCCGCGATTATTGCAACTATAACAAAGAACATAATTTCACAGAGGAATAAGTATACATACTTTGCACAGTTAGTTCGTTAATGACTGTCTATCTCGTTCTTTTTAAGCCTCCGTTATCGTGTGCTTAAACGACAATATGAACTCGTTAACAAATATGATAAACTTTGAGGTTAGCTTCATAGGAATATTTTCCCTGTACTTTTCTGTTACACCTGAAATATGATGAGGATATATTCGTCATAATTCAGTGAGCATGTAACCCTTTAGGTCAGTAATTAAACTGATTCATGCTGTGCCACTTGAGTCAAATGTCACTGGTCACCCCATATCTATGTGGTGAGTATGGATTTCACACGTAATCTTCGCGCAAATAACAATATTTTTGTTAAGAAATGTTATGAATGGCCCTTGGTTAGGCGTGGATAGCTTACGTTCGTATAAAAGTTTTAACCGTCAGACTGCAATGCTCATCGATAAAATAGCATACTTTCCTTGAAAATTTACCAAACTCTTCGGATTGTACGTACTTTCATAAATGTGGATGTAATCTTGACCTTTATAACTAATTTATGGAGCATATAAATTCCTCAAACTCAGCACAATATCATTAGTTTGCTCAGTCGTAATAATCAAAACAGATGAGCAGCTAAAAGGCATGAAGACCGTAAAAAATGTGAAGTTATCAAGGTATAAAATATAAGATTTGTATATAGAGCTAATGAATTTCAATGAACTTTCCCACAACTGTTCTGCGCATAAATAATGTTACTGATTTCCCTTAGTTCTGCCCATATTTTTTACGTGAACTTCTTGATATAATACTCGCCTCCAACATTGCTAATTTTTTGCCATTCTACCGATAAAATTGATCCAACCTTAACCTCAGCAAATAAGAATAAGTGTGTCTCATACTCGCTTGTGAAAACTACACGTCTTAAACAAACGCAGCCGACTTACCCAAAACAAAAATAAAAGTCCACATGTTAGACATCTTTCCTAGGAAGAAAAGCAAATGAGTGTTAAAATAAATTCAAAGTTACTTTATATGTAAGCCTCTACTCGGCACCTCAGCATATCTATACGTTGTATACGTTGCGATTCAGTATCATCATCGGCTTCGACCTTATTTTCTTTGTCTCGTAATTGAACCACAATATTTATGCCTTAACGACTAAGCGTTGCCCCGACCGCTGTGGCAATATATATATATATATATATCAAACGCAGAGTGTTTACTCTATTTTACTATTTTACTTAACTTAAAATGGAACGTGCAGGTTAGTTAATATTCCTGCAATAAAAATTGTTTAGTTCAAATTTTTAACGCTGTTTCCGAACATTTCTTGTAATTAAGAGACTTAAAGCAACATCCGGCATATT